TGAGCCTGAACCACATCTGCTGCTCCAAACAATCCCACTCAATTTCAGATATCTCCACGCTTTAATGAAATAGAGCATTAATCGACTTAACAGACATTGAAAGATAAACATTTGTTTAGTCAGACATCTGAAACCAGTGTACAGTGTACATCTCCTAACCAACCAAATATTGATATGAATATGAAAGAGTATGCCATATTACTTACAGAAATTAACTTAAAGAAATATTCTGAAATTGGCAAGGATTAACAGCCAGGAGCCTGCAAATATTAGTTCCAGTCCCCAAGTTTGTTTTTTTTAATGTGCTATTATTTGGCAGTACAACTGAATACATTTACGATATGACATTTCAACTTCTTTTTTATACACAATACATTCTTTGTATTTCTTGATTGTGTTTCTGAAAGTATTGTAGAGATATCCAAACCTCAAAAACAGATTCTAGGTCATTTACCCTGAAAAAAAAAAAAAAAAAATCTCTAGCTATGTGATTGATAGCGATTTAAGGAAAGAAAGATATCTTTAAAGGCGGTCGTCACAATGGATAATTTTAATGACGATCCATTCAGACTGCCACCGATAATCAGCAAACGGCATCACATCGTCTATCGCTCAGAGGGAGAGGAGTTGGATTCATCGGCCGACGGTTGTACAACTCAGTGAACGGCCCGGCTTTGCACTTTATTCTGATTAGACCTTGAAATCTTTGTTAAGTTGTATTTCAAGATGAACATCAAATGATAAAAAGAAACTTCTAGCAAGTTTTTAGATTGATCGCATTTCCAGGTTCATTCCTCATGGCATCCAACGAGGCATACTACAAGGTTTTTCACTCCGCCGGGAATAATATTCTGTAAAGACATTTCATTAGGTAGCTGTATTCCATGCCTAAGGGAATACTACGTTTGTAGTTTGACCCAGTTACACAGTACTTAGTATATGTGATAGAATTTTCAACTAGGCCTATTCCACTGAATGAGAATAAAGAACTTTTCATGAATTGTAATACATTTCAATCGAAATGTTATTCATATTCATTCCAATAGTAGTTTTAAACTTCTTTTATTCCTTGTTTGATTTGTACCCATATATTTAAATCCAAATTACAGTTGGAGTTTATTCAAATTTAGATCTAAACATTTTCAAAATTATATTTATTTCTCTTGGATTCTTATACTCTTTCATTATAAATGATTTTGATTTAGAAAGTATTCCACTAGGATTTTAATTTAAATGAGTTCCTAAAAATATACTCCAATGGGATTCACCAAACTTCGTACAAGCTCAATCCGGTGGGAGGTTCATCATAATTTGCAGGAAGTACCAAGATATGCCTGGAAAGAAGACATTTCAAACAGATTCATTCAGACAAGGTTATGTTTGCATCAATGTACAGACAAAACGTCATCCAAGTGATTCTTCTATATTTTTTATTATCTGCTATTGTGTCTGAATGGCACCAAATAACAGTTTCTATGGGTGCATGGAAAGGTGAGTTCCATTCGGAGAATCCGTAAATCAGTTATAGTTTGAGAGTTCACTAATGAGAACGATAATCGGGGTCACTACAGTGCACCGTGGTGTGCAAACAAACCAAAACATGTTTAAATCATATCTGTTGGCCAGCAGATGGCATTTGAAACAAAACGATTCATAAATTATTTTTAATTCATGAGCATGAAATCAAGCTCTGCAAGTTCATAACTTTTCGACCTTTGATCACTATCATCAACAAATCTGTTTTTGAACCTAGCATATTTCTACTACAACTCTTTACAGACTATCTCAATAAATAGGGGAAGTTTCAGTGTCATATATTTGCAAATGATTTTTATCCTGATTAATGATGCAGGCATCCTGCCCAGTGTCTTATCTGATGAAAGATTCTTATCGTTATATTTTAAATCTTGAGACCTAAGAATCTATCATTACAGTACTTCCTTGGGTATAAGCCTACCTCCTCCGGTATGAGCCCACCTCCAGTATAAGGCCACATCCTCGGGTATAAGCCCACACCCTCGGGTATAAGCCCACCTCCTCATGTATAAGCCCACCGTCTCAGGTATAAGCCCACCTCCTCGGGTATAAGCCCACCTCCTCGGGTATAAGCCCACCTCCTCCGGTATAAGCCCATCTCCTTCGATATAAGCCCATCTCCTCCGGTATAAGCCCACCTCCTCCGCTATAAGTCCACCTCTTACTTTTCACCTAATTTTACGTACCAACCTTTTCTCGGCCAAATGCCCAGGAGAGGATTTGAACGAGTAGCTTAACTGACCTTTACAAATGTTGGCTTAGAATTGGGTATGCAGTGATGAAATATTATTTGATTGAAAAGGGGATTCCCCAGGTATATGCCAACCTCCAATAATTGGCCTAATTTTGTGTTCAAGGAGATTGGACTCGTATAGTGGTGGCGCCGGTGGGAGGGCAGGGAGAGCATTTGGGATACATTAGAAAAACTATAAAAAATACAGTAATAATATCGGTAAACTTACAGCTAATTTTCTTGGAACTTCAATTTAAAATTGGACAACAATAAATAAGGGGGAGTATATATTTATGAACGTTATGCTAGTCTATATTAAAATCTAGAAATAACTTGGTAATTGGATGTACGGTATATATTAAGTATAAATCATTTTGTAAAATTACAGTGGGCTTTCAGGAACCTTGGAAATGATGGATAACTTCAAGATTATCAATACTTAAATATCAATGAGTTACCAGTATGAATGATATAGTAATTAGTTGATTAATTATCCCATCGGTTCAATTAATTTACAGGACGTGCTTAATTGGGTTTGTATCCTGTGTTATTGTAAGGTTCAGTACATGCATACAGTGCTCTGGGGAACCCCATAGAATTTTAGGCCTTGTTCAGACTAGGTGGATAAACCCGGCTCAACTCACTGGGTTTATCCACCCGCCAGTCTGAACTAGGTGGCTTATATCAAGCCGGGCTGTGCCACCGTGTGTAACTATTCTAATCTGGGCTTTAATCGCTGCAGGGGTCTCGCGTTTGCCTCGGGTAAAAAAAATGACTAATCAGCATTCGATTACTTGTGCTGAGAGCGGGCGTACGTTTTGCGCTCAATGTTTCAAAACTTGTTAATATCCTAATTTTCGTACCTGGCTAATCCAGCTAGTCTGAACGAACGCCCGCAAGGTTAAGCCGGGTTTAACTTTGAGCCAGGCTTAACTTAAGGCTGGCTTATCTTCAAGTCTGAACGTAGCCTCAATGAGTATTTATCTATTGCCTAAAAAGTGGCTGCCATGGTTGCACAAACAACGCCACCATTAGTAAACAACTACATAGTTAAATATCTATACTTTATTTTTTACGGGTTTTTCTGGTCACATGTACTCAATTGTACTTGCGATAGGCTCGCATTTCATTTATTAATTTGACCAACATTTAAAAAAATTGAAATGCTGGATAGGGCAGTAGATAACCAATGTACTGTAAATTGCTATAACTCAGATGAGCCAGCTACAATTTTTTTTATCTAGATCAAGTGTTGTAGCATATGTTATTTTGCACATACTCTGTATATCACTAGCCAAACTCAATCAGTGTAACATATTGTATTGGTTGTACCACACCCTAAAGATTTGATATCTTAAGCTCTTTCCACACTATCAAACTGTTGTATGCCCATATATAGTCATGATGTGTCTATATATAGTCATGATGTGATGTCATCATGACCATATAGGCATGTCACGTGTTTTTTTTCAAATAAAATTTGATAGTCTGGACAGAGCTTTACATACTGTATTGGTTATACCACACCCTTCAGATTTAATATATTGAAATGTCAGCTTAACTGTACTGAAATCTTGGAAGGAAATTGGACTTAACCTTACATTTTAAAGCAGAGAGTATTTATGACAAGGGATATGATTAAGTTGTAAATCAAATTTTGAACAAAACATCAGGATACAGGGGCGCATACGAACTGTCAAGGCGTACCAATCAGTATTATTGTCTTTATCGTATTTATATACTGCAATAACAGATGTAATTGGACGCAATAATGGAATATTGTAGTGTGTGTTCCTGTGCTTACATGTTCATCTGTCAGCAGGTTGAAGGAGAGTGAACAATTGCTTGAACCTAACTCGTGATCAAAAGCTAATTTCCTTATTGCTGTCCGGTTTTATAATCCTATAATTGATACTTTCCTTCCATGTACTGTTCATTTGTGGGTCAGAATTTTGAATGTGTTTTTTTTTTTGTGGTTTGAATCATGCTTGGTTTTGTAACTGAGAGTTGGTTGTCTTGATAACTTAATATGTTGATCCAACATAGAAAAGAAACTGATCAACTCATTGAATCTTACAGCTGGCGAGAAAACTGTTTCATAATTATAATTGTCCGTATGGTAATCCTTCTGATTACCTACGGTGATGGCGATCTTATATCTTATTCCTGATATATGTCAGTAATTATGTTTTAAAAAAAAATATTCAGGTTTTAAATATTAGCATCAGTGGCAGTGCCAGTGGGAGCGCAGGGGGAATTTACCCCCAGATAATTTTCTTTCCCCCTCCCCCCA